CCAATTTGTATCCCTTTGATTTCTTTTTCCTGCCTAATGGTTCTGGCTAAAACTTCCAGGTTTATATGGAACGGCAATGGTGAAAGTGGGCATCTTTGTCAGGTTCTCTGAATCTTAGTGGAAATGCTTTCACCAATATTTCCCCTATTCAATATGATGCTGGCTGTGGATTTGGCATATGTTGCTTTGATTTGTGTTGAGGAATGTTCCTTCTATACCCAATTTACTTACGATTTTTATCTTAAAAAGGATGTTACATTTCATCAAATGCTTTCTCTGCATCTATTGAGATAATCATATGATTTTTATCCTTCAATTCATTAATGTGCTGTATCACCTTTATTGATTTGCATATGTTGAACCATCCCTGCATACCAGTGAAAAATCCCACTTGTTCCAGGTGAATGATCTTTCTGATGTGTTGTTGGATTTGATTAGCTAGTATTTTGTTGATGATTTTTGTGTCTATGTTCATCAGTGATACTGTTCTATAATTCTCTTTCTTTCTTTTTTCTTTTTTCCTGGTTTTGGAATTAAGGTGATACTGGCCTCATATAAAGAGTTTGGGAGAATTCACACCCTTTCAGTTGTTTTGAATAGCTTGAGAAGAATGGGAATTAGTTCTTCTTTAGAAGTCTGGTAGAATTCAGCAGTGAAGCCATCTGGTCCTGGGCTTTTCTTTGTTGGTAGGGTCTTTATTACTGATTCAATTTCTGTCTTGTTTATTGGTCTGTTTAGAACTATAATTCTATTCCCTTGATACATACGTCTGTCCTTATGCTAGTATCATACTGTCTTGATTACCATTGTTTTGCAGTACATTTTGAAATTGAGAGGTAAGAATCCTTTATGTTGAATATTCATGTGAGTTTTAGAATCAGTTTCTTCATTTCTATAAGAAATTAGCCAAGGGGCCAGGATTGTGGTGTAGTGAGTAAAGCCACTGCCTATGATGCCAGCATCCCATATGGGTGCTAATTCAAGTCCTGGCTCCCTCCTAATGCACCTGGGAAATCAAAGGAGGATGACCCAAGAGGTTGGGCCCCTGTACCCACATGGGAGACCTGGAGGAAGTTCCTGACTCCTGGCTTTGCAGACATTTGGGGAGTGAACCAGCAGATGAAAGATCTCTCTCTCTCTCTCTCTCTCTCTCTCTCTCCCCTCTCTCTGTAACTCTGCCTTTCAAATAAAATAAATCTTAAAATAATAATAATAATAATAATCTCTATTTTAAAAAGGAATTAGCTAAGATTTCTGACAGAAATTGTACTAAATCCATACATAAATTTTGTGGAGTATTGCTATCTTAACAGTGTTAACTCTTGAGATCCATGAACAGAATTTTTTTCATTTTGTTTTATTTTCTTTAATTCCTTTCAACATGTTTCATAGTTTTCAAAATATAAATTTCTACTTCCCTTATTAAATTTTTCCTAAGTATGTTATTCTTTTGACTGTTATTATAAATCAAGTTTTTTAATTCTATTTTCAGATTGTTCAATGCAAGTGTTTATGAATACAATTGATACGCTTGCATATTGGTTTTGTATTCTGCAACCTTGCTGAACTCATTATTAGTTCTGATAGTGGATTCCTTAGGGGTTCGTACCTATAAAAGACAGCTTTATGTCTTCATTCCTAATCCAGATGCTTTATTCTGGCCTAATTGCCCTGGTTGTAACTGTCCATCCAATGTCCAGTAGAAGGGTGAGCGTGAACATCCTTGCTTTGCTTATGTTCTTAGGAGGCAGCATCCAGACTGCCACCATTAATTACAGATGGTAGATGTGGCTTTTTGTAGATGGCCCTTGTCAGGTTAAGGAATTTTCTTTCTCCCGGTTCGAATGTTTTTATCATGAAAAGGTGTTGATTTTGTCAAATGCTTTTCCTGCACCTGTTGAAATGTTTTTGTGGACTTTGTTTTTTGTTTGATTGATTTGCTGTATTATATTAATGAGTTTTACATGTTGTGGGATCCAGTTATTTGCTGGGTTTTTTTTTTTGATGATTTCTATATCCATATTAGCTAGAGTCATGGTTCTGCAGTCTTTTCTTGTGACGTCTCTGGTTTTGGTATCATAGCATGAGTTGGGCTTCCCTCCTCTTCTATTTCTTGGAAGAGGTTTTGAAGAGTTTGGATGATTTTTTTTCTTTCTCTTTTTTAAGAGGTCTACAAAGATTGTCTATTTTTTTAAAAGATTATTTATTTGAAAGGTAGAGTTACGCAGAGAGAGGGAGAGACAGAGACAGAGAGATCTTCCATCCACTGTTCACTCCCCAAATGGCTGCAACTGCTGGAGATGGGTCAGGCTGAAGCCAGGAACAGGAGCCAGGAGTTTCTTCCAGGTCTCCCATGGGGGCTTAGGGGCCTAAGGACTAGGGCCATCTTCCACTGCTTTCCCAGGCACATTAGCAGGGAGCTGGACTGGAAATGGAGAATTAGGACGTGAGCCAGTGCCCATACAGGATGCTGGCATCACAGGTGGCAGCTATACCTGCTACACCACCAGCCCGGTCTATTTCTTTTTGAGTCAGCTCCAGCAGTTTCTCCATTTCACTTAAGCTACCTAATTTACTTTAAGTTTGGCGGTTATGATCCCTCTTCACTTCTGATTTTGGTAATTTGAGCTTGCTCTCTTTCTCTCTCTCTAGTCAATGCAGCTAAAGTTTTGCCAACTTTGTTGAATTTTTTTGCAGATTTATTTTATTTTATTTGAAAGGTAGAGTTACAGAGAGAGGTGAAGAGACAGAGAGAAAATCTCTCACCCGCTGTTCACTCCCCAAATGGCTGTAGTGGCCAGAGCTGGGCCAGGCCAAAGCCAGGAGTGTCTTCCAGGTCTCCCATGTGGATGCAGGGGCCCAAGCACTTGGGCCATCCTCCACTGCTTTCTCAGGTGCATTAGCAGGAAGCTGGATCAGAAGTAGAGCAGCCAAGACCTGAACTGGCACCCATAGGGATGCTGGCACTGCAGGCAGTGGCTTTACCTGCTATGCCACAGTGTGAGCCCCTTTGCTGATATTTTGAAAAGAACCAGCTTTTGAGTTCATTTATTATTTTTTAGTTCTCCACCGAATTAATGTCTGCTTGAATTTATTATTTCATGCCTTCTGCTTGCTTGAAGTTTAGTTTGCTCTTTTTCTCTAGAAAATTTTTTTATTTGACAGGTAGAGTTATAGACAGTTAGAGAGAGAGACAGAAAGCTCTTCCTTCCGTTGGTTCACCCCCAAATGGCCGCAATGGCCAGGGCTGCACCAATCCGAAGCCAGGAGCCAGGTGCTTCTTCCTGGTCTCCCAGTGCGGGTGCAGAAGCCCAAGCACTTGGGTCATCCTCCATTGCCTTTCCGGGCCACAGCAGAGAGCTAGCCTGGAAGAGGAGCAGCCAGGACTAGAACCCGTAGCCATATGGAATGCTGGTGCCACAGGCGGAGGATTAACCAAGTGAGCCACTGCGCTGGACCCACTCTAGAATCTTAAGATGGGAGGTTAAATTATTTAATGTAGATCTTTTTTCCTTTTTAAAATAAATATTCACAACTGTTGGGGATGGCATTGTGGTGTAACAGGTTAAGCCACCACCTGCAACACCAGTATCCCATATGGGTGCCAGTTTGAGGCTGCTCTGCTTTTGATCCAGCTCTCTGCTGTAGCCTGGGAAAGCAGCAGAAGATGGCCAAGTGCTTGGGCCCCTGCTCACATGTGGGAGACCTGGAAGAAGCTCTTGGATCCTGGCTTCAGCCTGACCCAGCTCTGGCCATTGCGATCATTTGGGGAGTGAACCAACAGATGGAAGACAACCCCCTCCCCCATCACCCCTTCTTTTCCTTTCCCCCTCTTCCCCCCTCTCCCTCTCACTCCTCCTTCTCTCTGTAACTCTGCCCTTCAAATAAATTAAAAAAAAACTTTAAAAATAAGTGAATAAATATATATTTGCAACTATAAATTCACACCACTTCAGTTGCATCCCATCTGCGTGACTCATTCCCAGGTAGGCTCCGTGTGTATCCCCAACAGCAAGATCTGTGAGCTCCTCTGAAAATCCAGGTCTGAATCTTGCAGTGCCTACATTGTGGGAGGAGCCCATACATGGAGACGGTCTCGTGGCCCAAATGCGTTTCCCCAGCGCCAGTTTTGGAGGATCCATTTTATTTTGTTACTTATTGCATTTTCTTTGGGGATGGCCATGTCTGTCTCACGGTGTCTAATATGCAGGTCATCGTTGATGGGGCCGGGCCGATGTGATCTTATCTACAGCGGGAGGACTAGAAGAGTCTCATTTTTCTTCCTATTTTCGTATTTCCTTTGGATTTTGTTAAAAAAAAATGAAAACAAAATTGTTCAGGAAACACCACCCCTCTTGGCCACAGGTGCAGCTCCTGGCAGAGCTTTCCGCATGTGGGAGGTCCTGGGTTACTTGTGGCGAGTGGATGAGGAGGTTGGACTCTTCAGGGCCTCTATGCCCCTGTCTTTAGCTCTCTCGTGCAAGGTTTGGGGGAATCACGGGTCTGTGCAGCCAGCACTGGTGTCCCCGGTGGTTAGTTCTGCAGACAGTGGCCAGCCCTATGCGTCTGGGGACTCAAAGAGTGGGGAGGAAGCACCACCCTGCCTGGGTCACCACCCAGGCTAAAGTTGCATCTCCTAACTCTGGGACGCTGGGACTGCTGCTTGATCTTTGCCAGGAATCCCGGGCTGGGAGAGGGAGAAAGGCAGCCATGGTGGACAAGCTGGTGGGGTAGGGGGAGGAGAGCAGGGAGGGTCCCACAAGCCCACTGAGACGACTGGAAGGCAGAGCCACTGGCCTCAGTCGGCTTGGTTTTGTTTGTGAGTTCTCTATGGCCGAGAGCATCACTTTATCACATCTGCTGAGGGCTGTACTATCGGGAAGCAGACCGTGGGCTTCTCTTCTCGATTTCCATCCTCACACACAGTGGTGACCAGGGGGCAGGCAGCTTCCTGAGCACCTCGCTCTCACTCTGCTTCTCTGCACTGCTTTCTCGCTTAGCCGAGACCGTCGCCCTGGAAGAGTGCCTGGTGAGCGCTGTGGGCATGAGCCGCTACGGCCTGGACGCCTCCAGCTCCGCCTGCAGCCACAGGGGCTCCTTGCCGCCCTCCTCCTTGCTCTACTGCAAGAGGCAGAACTCCGGAGATGGCCACCTCGCGGGAGGCCCTGCCACCGCTGCCAGTGGGCCCCGCACCAGCCCTGTGCCCTCGGGAGGCCCCTCGGCACCTACACTGAGGCCCCCAGCCTCCAGCCCCAGGAGAAACGGGACGTTCGTGGAAGGAAACAGATGTGGTAAATGCAATGCATGCCTTGGCTTCCCAGCGACACAGCTTCCTCTGTGTTGCCCTGAGGACCCGGCCTGGGGGAGGCGGGAGGCCTGGCAGGCTGAACCTGGTGCCACTGGAAATCAGAAGTGGCCACAAGCCCTTTCATGGATTTGTATTGTGCTCAAAGGCAGCAAACCTTGACCTTTGGCCACAAGCAAAGAAAATGGCATATTAAGGTAGAGCAGGCTTTAGGAACAAGTAGACTCTGCAATGTATGTACGCTGGCTCCAGTCCCGTAAGAGTTTTTGCTCACAAGTCCAAGGTGAGTGTTGCTTGTTGGTGGGCACATCTCCCTGCAGGGACCCAGGCTGTGTCTGTTTTGTGGCCCTGCCATCCCCCATAGCCACCACGTCCCGTGCATCCTGCAGGTAGAGTGGGGCAAAGGCACAGCCACTTTCCTGGAGCCTGGAAGGGGTGCGCGTCACGTCCACTCGTGTTCCATTGCTGAGAGCTGGCTGTTCAGTTACACTGAACAGTAGAGGAGCCGCAGCTCTGTGCCCGGGAGACCATCACATTCAAGCTTCAGTATCTCATTAAAGATTAAAGACCCTAAATCCTAGTGGATGATTGCCTGGACCCGAGCCAGACAGCCTGGCCTGGAACCTAGCTCTGCTGCTTCCTGACCCCTGCTTCTCTGGGCCCACGTGTCCTCACCTGCAAAACTGGAATCCTATGAGAATAGCAACCCCTGCCTTTAGGACTGTTGAGAGGATGCAGGAGTTCCCACTGGTATTTAGGACAGGACCAAGGACACAGCGGCAGTCAGAGAGCAGCCACAGGCCACTTGAACACAGCCCCCAGCTCACCACAGGCCCTTGGCTCCACGGCTGAGAGCTGCTGAAGAAGAGGGGAGGCCCCAGCCCAGAAGTCACGGAATCCTCATCTTGACCCCAGTGGGCTGGCTGCGTCTTCCTTGGCAAGCCCCATGTCCTGAGCCCAGCCTGTGTCCACCAGTGGCCCCACCACACTGCACACGACAGGAGCTATCCCCTCAGAACCTTACCCAGTCCTGGAGGCTCATGGCCCTGTCCAGCCTCTCCTGGCCAGGGATGGAGAGGCAAGTGAGGCCTCTTGGTCCAGGGCCAGAGCACAGCCATTCCTTCAGCCAAAGGCGGAGGTGCCCTGCGGACCACTCCTGGATGCTGGCACACAGGGCCACTGGCCAGGCCCAAGGTGCAAGCAGGGTGGAGCCCCGTTTCCCAACGGAGGGGGACATTGTCCATCTGCTTGCTAAGAATGGGAGAGAGAGCCAGCCCCATGGCTCACTAGGCTAATCCTCCACCTGTGGTGCCGGCACCCCGGGTTCTAGTCCTGGTCAGGGTGCCGGATTCTGTCCCAGTTGCTCCTCTTCCAGTCCAGCTCTCTGCTGTGACCTGGGAAGGCAATGGAGGATGACCCAAGTGCTTGGGCCCTGCACCTGCATGGGAGACCAGGAGGAAGCACCTGGCTCCTGGCTTCGGATCTGCATAGCCCCAGCCGTAGTGGCCATTTGGGGAGTGAACCAACGGAAGGAAGACCTTTCTCTGTGTGTGTGTGTGTGTGTCTCTCTCACTGTCTAACTCTGCCTGTCAAAAAAAAAGAAGAAGAAGAAGAAGAAGAATAGGAGAGAGAGAGAGAGAGAGAGAGAGAGAGAGAGAGAGAGAGAGAGAGGAGGCCGGGCGTGAACCAATGCCATAAAGGAAACGAAGACGCAGCACTTCCGTCGGGCTTGCCTCCAGAGTTTGCATCCAATCTGGCCCCTAGCAGGAGTTCTGCTAATGTCACCCTGGTGTCACTCTGTCCTTCAAATGTCCCTTCCTCTCATTCTTCTCAGCCCACTCCCCTTGTCCCAGGGTGCTGGCCAAAGGAGACACTCTGCTGACAGACAGAACAGAGAGAGAGGGAGAGACAGAGAGAGAGAGAGAGAGAGATCTTCCATCTGCTGGTTCACTCCCCAAATGGCCTCCACAGCTGGCCGGTGCTGGGCCAGGCCCAAGCCAGGACCTTGGAGCTCTATCCAGGTCTCCCATATGGATCGGAAGTGGAGCAGCTGAGACCAGAACTAGCGCTCAAATGGGATGCTGTCACTGTAGGCAGCAGCTTAACCCGATATGCCACTGCACTGGCCCCCCCCAGTTCCCTGCGTCTTAATCGCAGAATTCAGTAAGCAGATGCCACAGTTGGCTTGGAGAGAAACTTCTATCACTTGCTCAAGAATTGTCTGCCCCAGCTCAGTCTATCCCGTGACCCTGGGTTAGGGGATGCAGGGCCCTCCAGGGGGTCTCAAAGTGACTCCCCTGCCCCTCCTGCACTCCCTACTTCCAGCTGAGCCCTGGATGTCCCTAACCTTCATTGTCATCGAGGTCCAGCCTCTCTGAGCAACCTCACCAGACAGGAAGCAGTTTCTGTGGGAAGCACCTCTGACATGTTGGAGACCCCGATGCATGCCCGGGGAGCCCACATACCTCAGAACTTCTGCCTCTCAGGGTCTTGAGTGAGATCAGAGACACAGAGCCTGCCCTCCTACTGCCTTCTGCTCCAAGCAAATCAGTAACTACCTTGAACACAGGTTGTCTTGCTCCTAACTTGGAAACATTAGCAAGAGGGGATGGCATTGTAGTGTAGCGGGCTAAACCACCACTTGGCATCCTGTACTGGGGCACCAACTCAAGTCCCAGCGGCTCTGCTTCTGATGAAGTTCCCTACTAATGTGCCTGGCCAGGCAGTGGAGCATGGCTCAAAGTACTTGGGCCCCTGCCACCCATATGGGAGACCTGGATGGTATTCTAGGCTCCTGGCTTCGGCCTAGACTAGCCCCAGCCAAGTAGCCATTTGGAGAGTGAAACAGCAGATGGAAGATTGATCTCTTCTCTCTCTCTCTCTTCTCTCTCCCTCCCTCCTGATGATCAGAGTGGTTTATCATCAGCAGGATGCCTTGGGACTGTGGGGTGTTTAAAATCACAAACTCACCCAACCTTCTTGGAGTAGAGCTGCTACAGATGTTAAGAATTGAAGGTCATGGTTAAGCCTGTGTGATACACTGAAGAAAAATGAGATTATTCATCATTTTCAGGCACCCGAGCTCTTTCATGCTCCCAAGACGCCTTTTAACCAGTGCCTTCTGCAGGCACCCAGTGAACCTGCAGAGAGCAGACAGCCCCCCACCCACCCAGCCACACGCATGCTCAGCAATCAGACGGAGGAAGCAGGTGGGAGGTAAGGGCGGGGGAGACACTTGTACCTGTGTCTCTGAAAGAGGGTCCTATTTCCGCTCACATTACATTGGCCAGAACTTGGTCACATGGCCAGCAGCTGCAAGGGAAGCTGGGAAAATGTGGTTTCAGCTGTAGGCAACCATGATCCCAGATGGGAGTCAGAGATTTGCTTACAGAGGAAAATACGGAAAAAAGATACCGGGTGGGCAGCTGGCACTCAGCCACTAATGGGAAACATTTGCTCCGTTTCCCTTCTCCGGGCGTGTTGTTCCCAGCTCCAGCTCTCACTCCCTCTCTCCTGCTCCTCAGAGGGGACCCGGTGCCTGGCTTTGTGAGGTTTCTCCCGAGCACACGGCGGCTTGTGTGAGGCCTGCATCGAGCTGTCACTGACTGAGCACCCACTGGGAGCCACACGTTACTTATGCCTTCTTCTCAGTTAGCGTTTACAAGAACTAGGTATCACTGGATCTGAATTAGAGATAAAGACAGTGCGGCTCAAACGAAGGTCAATCACGTGTAGAGCCAAGATGGGGACTTGGGCTGACTCCGGAGCCCGGGTCTTCCAGAACTTCCGTTGCCTTTCCAACTGCACTTGGTGGGGGTCGAGGGGACCCCACCGAGGTTCTAGGGGAGGGGGAAAAGGAGATGACAGCGGAGAGGGCTCCAGACCCCCTGCCTGTGTTTAAGCGGGCTCTCTTCACCTTGGCAGAATGGGGTTCTGTGTGTACTCTGATCAAAACTTGCATTGCTAAAACTGGCACTGGCGTGAGCGCCGAATGATGAAAACAGGACAGAAGAGCAGTTGCAACCTCACGGATTTCCCACCTGCCTGCCCGCCTGGCGCCTCCATGAACCCTCAGGGAGGCCGTTACCATTTTCCCTCTGCCCAGAGGACCGCTCAGTACTGCTCTGAAATTGCATCCCATGTGAAACAAGTTGGCTTCAAGAAACTAGACTCCTTCACAGGGGTTTGACCCCAGCCATAAACCCTGGAAGAGACCTAGAAATGGATCTTTTTTTTTCTCCTTAAAGTGCAAATCAAAATGGTTTAAAGCCACAGAAGCTGGAAAACTGCATGAGGTCACAGGCAGGAGGGAAGGTATCAATGACACGGCAATTTCTCAGCCTCCTGCTCTCGCGCCAAGGCGTACCTCCGCCTCCTGCTGTCTTGATCGATGGGAACTGGCTCCACGCCAGCGGGCTCCGAGGACGTGTGTTCACAGGGCATGCATCCTGGGGCTGCTGGTGCCCAGGTGCAAACGCGAGAGCTCTTCGCTGGCTCCCATCCAGGATACAATCACCGCAGAGGTCTGAAAGCCTCCTGGCTTTTACATGTAACTGCGCTTGCTGTAGCATTTGATGGAAAGCAGTCATTGCTAACAGGGGAATGAGCTGATGGCCTTGGGATTTGGGAAGCTGCATCTGCCAGCCATTGATAAAAGGATGTGTAGTAACAAGAATGGTCACAGCCTTTGATGAGCTGTGACTGATCAGTGCTTCACATCATCCCACTGACTCTTCACAGCAGCCTGTCGCAGGGCGTGGCTTACAGCTGGGCAACTGTAGGACTTGGAAAAGGTTGGGCGGGCCTGGGCAGTAGACGCTGACTCAGCGCGATGTGGTGGGGGTCTCTCCTGGAGGGTCTGAGGTCAGAGCTGTGAACAAGTCAGGCACAGGCCCTGTTCTCAGAAAGTGTGCAGTCCCACACAGATGTCAGCAAGCGATGGCACACCTTTCTTGACCGCTATACCCACGGCAGCAGAGGCCAGGG